GCCAGTAAAACCAGTTGTGCTGCTGTTGCTGCCTTTTTCTTTGCTGGTGTTGGTTTTGCAAATTGTGTTGTACAAAAAAAACTTAGCATATGTGTCTGTGTGAGGATTGTTGGGCTGGGGAGAGGGGCTCATGCTTCCAGTGCAGATGTGGTGCTGCCTTGGAAAATGAATGAGAATTCTTGGAATGGCAGAAGGAGATGGGCTGTTCCAGGGTAGATGTGGTTATAGTTGTGTGCAGGTGGGATACAGCATTTCAGAAGCTGATTCCAGGTTTCTCTGACAGGACTTTGGTTACTGCTGTGCCGACCCAAAATACCTGGCTTCAAAACTAAATTTGCCAATATCATCTAACTTCAGCTTGGTCCTGAGTGCCCAGTTCAGTTGTGATGGATGTTTAATGTCACAAGGAATTAGAACTGCTCCCTCTCTGACTGATCTGCACTGATCAGACCAGCAGTGATGTGAGCCATCTATGCTTGCCTTGGACTTCTCAGTGTGTAATCTGAAGTGTTACACTTTTTTCAAAAGTATATTAAATTTACTCCAAGTATGGAAGTGCTTCTCCATATTTTTGCTTATGAATCTAGAAGATTAGCTAAGCAACTCTTCAAAAAAAACCCGTGGTTGAATACTCTTAAAATTCTGGGGTTTTTTCTTCATATTGGGATTTAGAAGTCTTGTCTTCCATTTCCCATCTCTTCTCCAAAGAGAACCTCTCAGAGTTCAAAGTGAGATAGCTGAGCTGTGTCACCAGTGGTGACAATCAGCGTGTTGGAGCAGCATGAAGCAAGCTGGTGGCACAGCTGCTGTAGAAGCTCTCTCCAGCATTCCCGTTTAGTCCCAAGCTGCCAGGCGTGGAAGGTTCAGCAGGAGGCTGGCAGAGTGCAGTGACTTTGTGGGGATGTACTGCCCACCCCACTGCTGCTTCCCTGCAGAGAGGGGGGATGAAGGTTCCTGCAGGCACCACCACATCCCTGCTGTGGCGTGGTGTGGTGAGTGGAAGGAAGGGCTTGTCTGTTTCTCCCCCCAGTTTGTCCAGGCCATTGGGGTGGCCTGGAGCTGATTCACTCTGATTTCTTTCTGCTCAATCAGATGTTGCTAGATTGTGCAGCTTTTGTACCCTTTTCTGGGAATGTGTTTAGGTGTGTATTGTTTTAAACTGGATGGATTTGTCTGCCATGCTTGGTGACCATGTACTGCTGGAGCAGATGATGATGGACTCTCTGCTCTCTGATATGGGGAGCTGCCTGCAAGTCTTTCAACACCACCTAGATATTAAAGGACAGATGCTTTGAGTTGTTTTTATTGACCTCTGAAAAAAAGGACTGTCTGTATTGGGAAAGGCTGTGTTGCATCCTGGGAACTAACAAGAGACTTCTTTACTGGGAGAGGTGACCTGGCATTTGGAGAGAGGCAGGAGAAGGGTTTGCTGACAGCCCTTGGCGCCTACAGAAAGTACTCTGAGACAAGACAAAGCAGCAGCAGATGCCAAATGAGCTGAATACTGGGTGGCACAACTTGCTTTATTGACTGTCTTGGGGAAGCTCAGGAGTCAAATGAGCAGAAGCAGACCCTCAGGCTGAGGGCTGTCACTCTCTGATTCTGTGATCGCTCTTTTGGGGGCCCGTGTAAATAGGAGGCTAAAAGATCTGGGCTGATGTCAAGGCCTGGAATAGCTCTGTAGTTATCAGCATTGCAGCATTATCTGGAATTTCGGATTGGAATTTCAGATGGAGAGCTGCCCTTCCTGTGCCTTGGTGTGGGGCTGTGCCCGCCAGCTGGCTGCCCTGGGGAGAGGCCGGCTTTGGGATCAGGCAGTGGGATGGCTGCTGCCAGGGCCCATCGCTCCCCTGGGGAGAGGTCTCCATCGGGAGCAGGCAGTGGGATCATGCAGTGGGATGGCTGCTGCCAGGGCCCATCACTGCCCTGGGGAGAGGCCTGCATCGGGGTCAGGCAGTGGAACCACGGCAGTGGGATGGCTGCTGCCAGGGCCCATCACTGCCCTGGGGAGAGGCCTCCATCAGGATCAGGCAGTGGGATGGCTGCTGCCAGGGCCCATCACTGCCCTGGGGAGAGGCCTCCATCGGGATCAGGCAGTGGGATGGCTGCTGCCAGGGCCCATCACTGCCCTGGGGAGAGGCCTCCATCGGGATCAGGCAGTGGGATGGCTGCTGCCAGGGCCCATCACTGCCCTGGGGAGAGGCCTCCATCAGGATCAGGCAGTGGGATGGCTGCTGCCAGGGCCCATCACTGCCCTGGGGAGAGGCCTCCATCGGGATCAGGCAGTGGAACCACGGCAGTGGGATGGCTGCTGCCAGGGCCCATCGCTGCTCCCGAGCTTCCCTCTGGCCCCTGGTGTGTGTTAATTCAGGCAGAGCCTCAGTAACTGTTCCAGCAGTGAACGGGTGGGCTCTTCAGTGCACTCAATGCAATGCAGCCAGGGCTGGAATTCAATTAATTCTTTGTTCATTTGCCAGCCGTGCCCTGGGTTGTCTGTTATCTGTCTGTAGCGGATCTGTTGACTCTGTCAATCCATACATGATTTCTGCTTTCTGCCTCTGACCTTCTGAGGCAGGTGTCACATTGGGGTTGATAAATGAATCCAGCATAGCTGGGAGGAACATTTGCTCACCCCAGTTGCCGTTTCCTCAATAGCTGTCCAAGCACCACTGTAATAATTGTGCTAATTTATAAGGACAACAGCAAAAATCGTGCATGGCTTAGCTCATCGTCCTGGCCTTCTCCTGGGGGTGAAGTGCGGGGTATATTTGCGCTGTGCATGTGTTTCCTTTCATGTTTGAGTGATGAGTTCCCCTCACTCTTCCTGGCTTGCGGGCAGTTTGATGAAGAGATGGATTCCTTCCTCTCCCGGGATCGAATTTATCCCTGGGGCACATCTCTGTAATTGCAGGCAGCGCACTTATCACTGTGCGGGATGCTGCTGTGATGGGGCTCTGATCAGGCAGCTGTGAATGGTGACTGGCACTCAGAGTGCCATTGACTTTCCCTAAAAGCATCTCTGCACTGATGCAGCTCTGGAGCCCACCCTCTTGCTGGGCTCTGCTGCCAGGCCCCAGGCGGGTGAGGCTGCCCTGAGCCGGCAGACACGGGCAGCGATAGCCCTTAGGGCAGCTGGCTGAGCATTTGGCAGTGGGAGATAAAATCCAGTGGGCGAGAAGAATGTGAAAACGACACACAGCTAAACAAAAGCACGAGGAAAAAGCTCCTTTGGTGTATGAGTAAATATTGTTAAATTAAAAATTGGCAGTGTTGAAAGGTCTGTTACTGTGAGGGGAGAAGACTGCAGGCGCTCTTTAAAGAAGGTGAAGTTGTATTGTTGTGACAAGTTAGGATCCAGGGGGTGGTATTTAGGAAGGTTTTTTTCACAGGATACTTGGCATGGAGTAGTAGGCTGTTTCCCTGGGTGTTCCGGAGCCGAATTTGGAGCGGATCCATGTGACAGGCTGAGGGCTGTGGGGTGACCGCTGGTGCGCGAGTAGCGCACGGGGTTCAGCGCGGAGCAGCACCGGGTGTGCCCCGCACGGCTCCGCTGGGAGCAGCGCCGGGCATGGAGGGGGAAAGGGAGAGTGGGGGCGGTGCCGGGAGGCGGGAGCGGTGCCCGGGGGTCGCAGCCCCACGCGGGTCCCGCACAGCCCCGAGGGGTATTCGGGATCGGTTCAGCTCGAGGTGAGCGTTGTTCAGAACGCGCCGCGCACACGCCGCGGTGCGAGGTTCCAAAAATTGCGCCGCGCACGGAGCGGGCGCTGCTGTGTTGTTTAAGGCGTTAGCAGGGCTGCTCTCGCCATACGCTCATTGAGCAGCCGCGCAACCCCCAGATAAGGACGGTTGGCGGCCGCTGGGGCGCGCCGCCCGTAGGGGAGCGCGAACCTCGCCTAGGTCCCGGCGAGGGGCGGCGCGCCCCCGGCCCGCTCGCTGCCCGACGCCCGGCTCGGGGGCGCGCACCGCGCGGGGCCCGGCGCGCCCGGGCGGCTCCGACCCGGGTTCGAGCCCTTCGGCGGCGCCGCTACCCAGAGTGCTCCGCGCCAGACGGGTGCAGATTTGCATAGAGGGCGGGGCCACCGCGCGGCGGCAGCGGCGACGGTGCGCGCCCCCTGCCGAGCGGCCGCAGCAGAGCAGGGCACGGCTCCGGTAACGCGCGGCTGCGGGGATAACCGAGCTCCCGGCACCGGGAGGGACAGCGGTACACAACGAGTACAGCTGTGCACGTGTACACACCGGAGTGCAAATACATGTATGTATCGCAGAATATCCAGAGCTGGAAGTGACTCACAAGGATCATCAGCTGCAGTTCCTGGCTCTTGCACAGGACAGCCCCAACACTCCCATATGTGCCTGAGAGCCTTGTCCAAACACTCCTTGAGCTCTGGCAGGCTTGGGGCCACCACCGCTGCCCTGGTTGTCTGTGTATATATGTACAGTTGTGGGTATGTACAGGAAGCTGGGCTGTGTTGGAACAGCCCCGGTGGCACCGCCTCAGGAGCCTGGCTGTCCCTAATACTTCCCGGGATGATTAACCCCAGTGCTTATCCAAAAACCTAGGGAGAAGTGTCTTGTACCAGCACGATCATGATCTATAGAGTTTTGTGAAGTGTTTCACATACAGGCTGCACAGTACATTCAGTATGTGATGTACCTTTTTTTAGTAAGTAAGCTTAGTTAAAATCAGAGCAGGTTTTATGATCTGCAGCCTGTCATGAAGCTTCTCTCAAACTAGGTTTCTTTCTTTGAATTCCAGTTACGTCATAAAAGTGTTTGCTTTCATTTCTGCCAGTAAATAATTAAGCAGCTCTTAGTGCATACCATTTTCTAATTATAATTGTCATCATTGCAATGAATTAGGAATGCTAGTTACAGCAAATACTGAAACGGTTTATGCACATGGTTTGTGTACCTTGAACATCTATGTACATGAATTTAGCACTGAGCAGCAATGGCAGTTGCAGTGCACTCTCAGTTCATTGCCTGTTGTGTGCTTGCAGGTGGTTCTCCTGGGGATTGACATCATCTCTGCACTGGTGTCCCGCTTGCAAGATCGCTTCAAGGCCCAGATTGGCACAGGTGAGGGGTCTCTGTGTGAGTGTCACCATCACTGCCACCACCTGCACTGGCTGCTGGACTCAGAGCTGTCTTGGTTCCCAGGAGAGCACTTGGGAGGCTCTTGGTGGTTTTCATGCTGTGCTGAAGGGCAGTGAGGCTGGTGCCTCCTTTGGGCTTTGGGGGGAGAGCAGAGGGGCTCTGCCACTGTTAGTTTTTTCCAGAGGCATATGAATGTTCCTGTTTTCTTTCCTTAGTGCTGCCAAGTTTACTTGATAGGCTGGGAGATTCTAAGGACTCAGTGAGGGAGCAGGATCAGACCTTGCTGCTGAAAATCATGGAACAAGCTGCTAACCCTCAGGTATGTTCAGCAGTCCTCCACAGCATGAGTGACTGGCTGTGTGAAAAAAGGAAACCTTTTTTGTGTCAGAAGGTTTTCTGTGCCATTTTTCTGTCTGAAATAACTTCATCTCCCGAGACCTTTTTATAAGGTGTTTACTTTACTTGGGAAGGCTATTGCCTGATAGGATACACAAGAGCATGTCAGTGGATTTCTCAAGGATGGGATGGGTATATGTCAAGAGCCATTGTTCCAGGTTTTTGGAAGGTGCTTGCTTTCTGTAAGTATGAGCATTGTTTTAGGTAGAGGGGAGTTACTGTGAAGTGAGCACAAAACTAAGAATTAGTCAGTCAGATCTAAAAGTATCTTGCTCCTTTTTGTCCTGTTCTGTTTGGATGGGTGTAAAGCTTGTATTTGAGAACCAGAGGTGATGTGGTGTATGACTGCTGGAAGACAGAATCTGTTTCTTAGCCCATCTCATTTTTTTCATTTTTCTGTCTTCCTCAGTACGTGTGGGACAGGATGCTGGGAGGATTCAAACACAAGAATTTTCGGACAAGAGAAGGGATTTGCCTCTGCCTTATTGCAACACTCAATGCGTAAGTCAGAGCCTTCTGCAAACCTGTGTTGTGTACATGAGCCTGCTCTGATTCATAATGGTGCTTTTTGTTCTTTATTCCCAGATCTGGAGCTCAGAGTTTAACACTGAGCAAGATAGTGCCACATATATGTAACTTACTTGGAGATCCAAACAGCCAGGTGAGCTTTTGCTGTGAGTCACATCTAAAGGTTGTGCTGCTTGCCTTGTTGGTAAATGAGCTAATTGTGCTGCTGGTGGTGAGCTCTGAACAATGCTGTGCACACAGAGCCCTTGGCTGGTTTTGGAGAGGTGTAGTTTGAAGTATGTCCTAACCAGCATATCAGTTACTCCGAGGGTTCAGCAGAACAACATGAATCTGCAGGTGGGATGAACAGAAGAGGGAAGCCTTTGTGGGAAGGGAACTCCTGTGCCTTGGAGGCTGCAGGGATCCCTGTGGGCTCAGTGCAGCACCCCTCACCTTCAGAGAGAAACCAGTCTGGGCAGGGAGGGCAGATGGGGCCAGTCAGACAGCCTGGCCAGGTGCACTGCCACAAGTTGTACAGGCAGTGTCTGAATAGGGGGGGATACAACCTTTAATCAGCAGTGCTACCCAATGAAAATACAAGTGGAATAAAATCTGTTACTCCTTAGTGCTTTTGCTTGGGATTAGATGCAAGTTAGATTTGGGGCTAGTGAGAAGAGGGAGGTGGAGAAGTAGTGTTCAAACTCGCTGTGTAATGTGGACTGGCAGTTTTTGAATAATGCTGTTGGTTGTTCTGCCACCCAGGGTGACACATCTGTGATCCAGGTCTGGAGAGGGTGTTCAGCTGGAAGGAGGTGTGGGGTGTCCAGCTGGAGAATGGGTTTGTGTTTGCTCTGGGGACTTGGCCAGATTTCTGTGGCTGTCAGGGTCTCCCCTTGCTAAGAGGACTGAGAGTGAAGCAGCTTCCCTTGCTGCTTGTGCCAGTGCAGGATGGTAAACTCATTACTCCAAGAAATTTAATGTTTGGGGTCCTCCGTAGTTCTGAGCTGGGACTAAGCAAGCTGTTACCCTCCAAGGAAATCCTGAGTTTATGGCTTAAGCACACAGGTGCCTTGGTGCTGCCGTAGGTGAGCTGTTGAATTAACTGGAAAGTTGATGAGGGCACTGAGACATTTTTCCTCTGTGTTCCCTCTTCCTTATGCGTGCCACAGCTCCTTGTCCTGTATCCAGCTGCAGGGGGAAACCAGGCTGATCTCTTTCCCTTTCTCCTGGGTCTGGTCCCTCATCCCCAGAAAGCCTGTGCCTGAATTGGTCAGACAGAAATGGCTGTGACAGCGGCTCTGGGTGGAACAGTGTCTGCCCTGGGGCAGGGCTGGTGCTGCGCCCCCCGGGAGCTGCTGCTGAGCGCTGCGAGAGTCGCTGGGCTCGGGCACTGCTGCCCTCTCTCGGACAGAGGGGAGAAACAATCCAGGTCAAGTCCGGATTTTTTCTTTTGTTGTGGATGTGGAAGCTGTTCCACCAGAGCCCTTTTCAGAAATAGTGCTTTTGTTGTTTTCAGCTGATGTGACTGAGTTAACCCAATGTGCATCTGGTGTGACAACAATACTTAAACTCCTTCAACACTCCTCAAAAATAAAATTACTAAAGCTTTATTATTGCTGTGGTTGACTAAACCAAGTATGATGATGGGGGCTCCTTGCCTTGCTTCTTGGGATTTACAGTCCTGCAGCTGTGCCTCTGCTTAGCTGTGCACACAGGGCAATCCTTGCAGTGCTCAGGCTGGGCTGGGGTCTGTGTACCCAAAACTGGGGGCACCAGAGGGTCCCCACGGCCTTCTGTGCCCAGCAGCACTGGTGGCAATTGGGGCTGATGGGCAGGAGTGCTGAGTGAGGGCTGGCATGAGTGCAGGAGGGGTTTGGAGGCTGGCAGGGACCTGCTGAGCGGGCAGGAGCACGGGGAGAGGTGGGTGAGGCAGGGTATGTGTGCCTGCCCTCTGACTCCCACCCACAGGCAGTTCTGGCTTGTGTCTCAGGATATTCCTTGTCTAGTCCTGGGGTGTGTGTGGGGGTAGCTGCTGGGCCATCCTCTGAGAAGCAGAACTGCACAGTTGGTGTTTCTGTAGGCAGAGCAGTTTGTTTACCTTCTCTGCCTGCTGTGTCTAGTGGAGGAAGGGTTTAAGTACAGAAAGGTGACACTTAATCAGATTTATGTCTCTTCTGTTGGCTGGAAGGAAGGATGTGCTCAGCAATTTCTTGCAAATCAGTTAGGAAAATATGCAAAATTCATGGTGACTCAGGTGATTGAATACTCCTCCCTTCCTCCCTGTTTTGTTATCAACATAGAAATGTAAGTTTTTAAGACAGCATTAAAAATCCATTTATTTGATAATATCCCAGTAATATAAGGTCTGTTTATGTCTCTATCCTTTTTTCATCCAGTAAATTTACCTGTTGTATACAATGGGAGGAGTTTGGCAAAGGCAGCCAAGCTCCTTTTGCATGAAACCTTTCATCTTACACCTCCACTGCCTTTTCAATTCAATTACCTGCTGATACTGTTAATATGTGAAAGGCAGGGTTGGAAGCTCCTTCATGAGCAGTGTGCTAATGTGTATGGTGGCAGCTGTTGCTGTTGAGAAATAAAACAAATTTAGTTCTCTAATGTAGGGCTTATTAGGGATTTTATTAATTTAAATTGTAAAGATGATTGATTTCTCTCATGTCTCACGTCCAGGTTCGAGATGCAGCAATAAACAGCCTTGTGGAAATTTACAGACATGTTGGTGAACGTGTAAGGGCTGATCTCAGTAAAAAAGGATTACCCCAGTCTCGGTAAGTTGGGAATGTCCTTAGGTCTTCACTACTTTTGGGCTGCTTTTTATTCCCTTCCTTCCTTCAGAAGACTTGAGGAACCTCATGATTGAACCTTCTCCCAGGATCATTGTTTCATTTTTTATTTTTATTTTTTAATCTGATAAGCACTCAGATTTATTTAGTGCAGATCCTGTATCTTTGCCCAAGTATGCCACAGCATCTTTGGAAAACCACAAAAAATATTACAGATATTTAGCTAACTGATTTAAAATTAAGGGAATTAATATTTTTCCTGTATGTTCTCCATATGTAGAGAGGAGACACTTCAGAGTACCTTGTGTTTATGCAGCTTAGGCTGTCATAAACAACAAAAATGCACAAACAAAATAATCCATTTTAATATTTTTATTTAAGAAAAAAAAGCAGCTTCCCTCCCCTGCCCCCCCAACCAAACCTCAAACAAAAAGCAACCAATCTTATGTCAAAACCAAAGCCATGTCCCTCTGCTTCTGCTGTTTGAGGTGCATTAGGAAGCTGCTCTGCATCTTGCCTCCAGTGCTCAGGGCAGAGCATGGTTAGCCCTGAGGATGATGGAGTAGATGGCAGCTTGCCAGTGCTCAGAGGGAAGAGGTGCTTTTGGAGTTGGGGCACATGCAGGTGGAGGCAGCACTGCTGTTGTTGCCTCCTGTTCTCCAGTGGAAACATCTGCTCCCACAATGTGCCTTAAAGTAATAAACTCACTGGGAAGGAATGATGAGATGTGATAAGAATCTTATGCTCTGCTAGACCTGTGACATAAATGGGAATGTGTCAGGGCCAGAGACAAATGTTATGTCAAGTTGGTTTTTAGGGATGTGTTTTGTGGTATTTCTGTAAATAGTTAAGATAGAAAAAGGGGTGATGAACTGGAAATGCATCTACAATCAGCTTTATCACATCTTCAGTAATGTAGTATTTTCAGTTATATCCCAGGTTTTCCTTTCCACTTTTGTGTGTTGATGTTGTGCTTTTTAAATATTAAAATAACTTTCTTGCATTGACATTTTCTGCTGACATTTTTGACAGTGTTCCCAATGACCTAAGTGAAGCCAAATCTCTTCTATAAGATCATAAAATGTTAGAATTTGGCTGCCCGGGGAATTGGTGGAATCACCACCCCTGGAAGTGTTCAGAAGCCATGTGGATGTGGCATTTGAGGACATGGTTTAGTAGTAAACAAGGTGGTGCTGGGTTAAAGGTTGAACTTGATGGCCTTTGAGGTCTTTTCCAACTTCAGTGATTTTATGATTCTACTATTCCTAAAATTTAAATTCAGTTCTTCATTGTGTATTTCTTTAACTTTCAAACAGGTTGAATGTAATTTTTACAAAATTCGATGAGGTCCAAAAATCTGGAAACATGGTCCAGACTTCAGTTGGTGAGTAGAAGTACTTGTACTCTCTGGTGCTTTTAGCAATTTTCAGTTGGGGAGGCATTCAAATGGATATACAGCAAGCATTCTGTTAGGGGAAGCAGGAATGGTGATTGTTCAGAAATATACACAGTGCCTTTGCAGCAAATAAAATGGATGTTTAGTTTGTCTGCTGTCCTTTTGTAGTATCAGAAGGAGAAGGAAGCCTAAGTTTCAAGAAGAGAAGGTGGTGCTGTAACTGTCTTCTTGTCCTCTTGAGTTACATTAGGGAAATACATCTCCTGTTCTCAAGTCCATGTGCATGTAAATTGTTCATAAGGTGAATTAAATAATAATTTCAGAGAAGAATTGTCTTTTCAGTTTAATGCCCTAAAAGGCACAGAGAGTGCCCAATAATGCATCAGTGTTCTGTTTAAAGCTCGTGTTGTTTGTATTTTGTAGTTCCTAAGTGTCTGGGATTCCTCCCAAATCTGTCCCAAAGCAGCACACTAAATTTGCATATTTTGTGTGTTTAGGACTGATAGCCAAAGACCCTTAATCTGAGCCTTAATTCTGTCTGTCTTGTCTGAGACTAGTAGTAACAAGCTTACTGTAGTAACAAGTGTTTATTACTGTGTTTACAGATAAGCTTATGGGCTAGGAAATAATTTTAACAGGTATTATAAATTGAATAAGTATTGTTTAACAGTAGGTTTTTGTGAGAATCCTTGGTGAGGAAATGCATCTTTCTGCTGACAGTTGAGTAGAGCAGATGAAGAACCTGAGTTCAGCACTGTGTGTTCCTATCAAGCTCACACCCTCTGCAGGGCCAGGAGCAGGGGAGGTGATGTCCCAGCCATTCCCACCATGCTCTTCAAAGTCAAGAGAGCAGAGAGGTGTTTTCTTTTTTAAACAGGAAAAAAACCTTTTTCACTTCTGGGCACCATTCTTCTTGCCATAACCATTTTATAACACAGTAAACTTCATCCCTGCAGAAAAAAATAAAATTATTTGATTTGAAAATCCTGAAGTTATAGTTTGGATTATTCAGAAATGTGATGTATTATCTTGTGTGTTTGGGAATGATGAAGACCTAGTACAGGTTTCTCTGTGATGGAATGGGTTAAAATTACACTTTTGCATAACATGGGACTATTTTGTATGTCCAGGTGGATGAGCCTTACAGGGATAAAAAAGTGCAGTTGAGAAACAAATGTCCTTGTTCTTTTTTAACAGGTGGGAGGGGAAGTAAATATTTAATCCCTTAGCAAACTTGTTCAGGTTCCCAGCCTCCAGGTGATTTCTCTGAAACCCCTGCTCAAACTGAAACAGATTTACTGCTGACTCTACTTCCTTGCTTTCTGCTTGGCTAGGCTAAGGTGGAATTTTCGTCTTGCTAGCAGTGGAATAGAATGAATTTTCAAAAAAAGAAAAAGCAATTTGATGCATCATTGTACTATGTAGATTGCTATTGTTTGGTGTTTCTAGGAGGCAGACTTGTGATCTGAGATGTATTGCTACATCTGAAGCACTGGTGTGTATCAGATCTTCTGCTTTTAGGCTTAATTGAAAATTATTTTTTCTTTTATACCCCTTTGTCACTGTTTCAGTGAAAGATTTACCCTTTTTGTGCAGTGAGGTCCTGAGATGTCATGATCCCCATCTTCTGAGTCCATGGACAGGCTTTCAGTACTTCCCAACACAAGTACTCCTGTATTCTGCACTCTGTTTAACCTGATTTCCTGATGCCTCCCTGCTCTTGCTTGTGCTGTGGCAGGATGCAATCTCTGGAGTCTGTGTGTGGAGTGGATTTATCCTCAGTAGAATCTCCTGTATGAACATTGAGACAGAAAGACAAAAGGTCTGGGGGAAAAGGGAGGGTGGAGGAGTGTTAAGGGCCAAAGAGAGCAAAGCTAGGATCTTCTATTGGTCTGCCAGAACCTTTTCATCTTCCCTAGAAATAAAAAAGTGTTTCTACAAGTTCTGTAGTTGAAGAATTAAAGTAGTTCTCATTTGTGAAGTTAGTAAAGATAACATTACTTATTAACATTTTTGGTGTGTGTTTGAAGGGAGGATTCAGTTTCCCTTAGTGCCATAGGTTTGTTTGTTTGTTGCTTCTCCCTTGCCCTCCAAGCACAGCACAAATACAGCATTAAATGCTCGTCCTATCTTGTGTGTCAACAGCTCTGTGCAACTTTCAGTTTATCTGTCTGAGATTGTGTAAGCCAGCAAAAGGAGCCTTATCTTCACCCACAGTCACAAGTTTATTGTGGCCTGTGAGAGAAAGACAAGCTAAATTTGTCAGGTTTCTGGTGTCCCTGACACTTTCTGAACAAAGGTGACACTTTCAGCAGTTGTCAGAGTCACCAGGGAGTATGGTGATAGATATTGCACATGCAAAAGATTTGCCTTTCTCAGGAAATAGTGGAAGTAGCTCAGTGTTGTTAACCCTTTGAATCTGGCCGAGTGGTTGGGTGGGTGACTGTGTGAATGTGCTTCTCTTGTGAGTAACCAAGAGCAGGCTGTTGGCAGAAAGGTCACTCATAACTGAGCACCAGAGTTGTGCTAATCACAGCGAGACTCCAAGTGGTTGTCAAACCTCTCTTACCACAGAACACAGTGCTACTGGGCAGCTGGGACAGCAGTGTGGCTTCTAGAACAGTGCAAAACAGTAAAAGCTGGTCTCTTGCCTCTGAGACTACTGTTTGGGATAACAGTTTCCTCTGCCAGGTCACTGAGGATCCAAGTAAAAGGAAGGAATTGCAGCAGCACTCTCTGTATGTCAGCAGTACTTTGGAGATTAGTGAGTTGCTCTAACTTGTTAAAGTTTTCATATCTAGTGGTTCCCAAGACACAAACAAACAGAAATCTTACACAGGCTACTAGAAAAGTTGCTTAAAATAATAGGACATTCTCTTAACCCACAGAAGAAATCTAATGAGTCAACTCTAATCACACTGAATTTCAAGTCTCTGAAAATAATTCATGTTTTGTTTTGGCTTATCTTTCTATGCTGTAGTCCATTAGTGCTTGTTTGAGTTTATCTTGAATTGTTTTATTGTCTTTTTTGCTAGGCTTTGTTTTTATAATTTAGTAACACAAGAATCAAATGCATAGTGGGGTGGGGGAGGTTTGCATAGTAATCTGAGGTGTTTCATTAAGTCGGAGGAGGTTTTGGCATGCCCAAGTATGCTGCTTGTTGCTAGGCTACCAGCAACCCTTATAGCTAGAATATGAAGTTAAAATCCATGCTGGATTTCTTGATGATTCTCAGTGCATCTCTGTTTTGTTATTTGGCATATAATTAGTCAGCCTCTTGAAGCAAAAATTATAGGTTTTCTCCCTTTGGGCTTTCAGCAAGCTAATTATTTTCTGTGTAACTGCTTTTGCTAATTATGTAGATGCCTTATTCCCCTGGGACAAATACATTTTCAGCATGAAAGAGCCAGTAATTGCCAGCTAGTCAGCTGCTGTCTTTGAGTGGCATTGTGTGATGATCTTCAGTTGGATGTGATACAGAGAGAGGCTATTGGACAGAGGCTCCAAGAAATTCATGGGTCTCCTTGGTATTATCTGGAAGGGCCTTTACAGAAACTGTACAGGTTGTCCATAGATTTGAGTTGACTTTGAATCAGATCTGGACTCCAGAAGATGTTATAATCAAGTTTCAGTGAAGATTAAGAATAAAATAAATTATTTTCTGAAAAATACAGGCTGATAGGAACCAATGACCCAAACCAAAGTTTTTAGCAACCAAATTGTTTTGGTGTGGTTTTTATGCTTTTCATCATTGTGATTATCCTAATATGATGCAAACCTTCATTTTTTTATGTAAGTCACACAATTTTTGCGAGATGTATTTATATTTGTGCTGGAAGGGATATTGTGGTTGAGTTCCTGTGGCAAAAGAAGGCATTGAACTTTCTTGTTGATGTTGAATTTTGATTCAGAAGAGCAAGATTTAGGGACAGTGGAGGTGGTAGTGGTCTTGGGCCGGAAGGAAATCAAAGCAGGATCTTAAAGCCAGAATTCTGGAGCTGAGATCTCTCCCACTGGTACTTGTGGAGTAAGGTGAGGGGAGGATGCAATTTTGGTAGCTGACTGCATGAGTGTGTGTTCTAAGAGTAAGCAAGTTAATTAAAACAGTGCTGAAATAAAAGACATGATAATTTCAGTTACTGAAAACTTATGAAGAGGGAGCAATGCTATTTTTCAGTAGAATTACTTCTATATTTGGGAGGGTGTGTAAGACAAATATGCTATTTACTAAATGAATTCTGTTTGTGAAGTTGTGAAATTGGAGTTAAATAGATGAAAAGTGGAGCTATTTTAGATTCCTGTTTTTTGCTGGTAATAAAGCTGAGTCATTGGAAACTATTTTCATATTTATTATATGAAGGAAAACCACCCACATTTGCCAAGTGGTGCCATGCATCTGAGGGTGGAATATTGTTTGTTTGTCAACACAAATCCAAGCAGCAGATTTGCAGATGGGAAGGAGTGACAATTGTCCAGGATAACAGTAAATGCTGCACTGTGCTTTTTTGCATTCATACCTTCTTGTGCAATTAAATTGCCATTATGGCTTGCTCTCTATTAATACAGTTCTCACGTTGGAATACAAAGTGAAACACAAGATTAATTTCATTGACTCAGCATTTTCAGGGCATGAAAAAAGCAAATAAATGCCTCTTCACCTGTGTGGGCCGAGAGAGAGCAGTAATGTGTGAGTGATATTTGAATGAACACCATTAATTGATAGTTCATCCTTGTGGAAGGTATAAATGGACAAGAGGAGCTCTGCTCCCTTTCTGACAGCTCTGTAAACAAGCATACTGCTGAAATTCTCTCATGCAGAAGGGGAGGGGAGTGAGCAGGCAGGCACAGGGGGGCACATGGAGCTCGGCTCATGCGGAACAGGCTTTTATTTTGGAGGAGAGCTGGCACTCCCTGCTAGGTCACACAGCAAAGGGGTGTAGGAGGCTGGCGAGTTTGCTGGTGATTAAGTTGCTGAGAAACATGTACTG